ATTATTAGCTCTTGTTTCCTTAACATTAGAAAGTATTTGATTTGAGCAACAATAATTTCAATTTACAAAATGTATTACACAATGATGAAAGATCATCGATTACGAATTTTCCAAGTATATAATTGTTTTTAATAGATTATGGATTGTGAATTAATGAATCATTTTTTATTGTAATTTATTTTACTATTTATTTATACATTTTCACCATACATCTTGCTTATGATTGAGGTCATTTTTTTCTCTCATCACAAATGTTCATTTTTAATCACTCTAATTATACAATACAATCGAATGGAAAATAAAGAATACTTAAATGAAGAGTTTGGTTTCATTTCTTTGAATATGGTAACAACGTTACTTAATAAAATTTTTCACACGTGTTAACACATTCGGTTACACACTTTGTGATAGCTGGTTGAATATTAAATTACTATCTGCAGTGACAGAGATCGATAATATTATGAATGCAATCAACTAAATTCGTTAGCGAAAGAATTCTTATACTTACCGTAACCGAAATGCAATGTATTCGCTGCAGCAGCACGGAGCTCAGTCGCATTTGTTCATTATCTCAATTACACTACGTCGAATGATAGTTGAATTGGAAATAACTACAATAAGAAATTGCGTATTATAATAAATGTTATTTCACATGTAGAATTACATAATTTACAAGCCGGAGTAATGACAACGCTCCATTTTTCCCATTATTGTTTCCAGCTTTATCTAATATGTACCTGTATACTAGAAACCGAATCAATTGCAATTTTAAAATCCTCATTATGCTACAGACAAAAATATGATATCTAATATTTACAAATGAGGTGTGTAACGCAAGCTTAACAATAAGTTTCCGAATAACTCGATATACATGTGTATACGCACGACGCTCGGCGGCGAATGCGAGAAAACCTTAAGAAATCATTCTTCTGGGCAATACAACATAAAGATTAAGGGCAAAAGAAAAGAAAACATACAGTTTCAGCCTTGTTTTCGAGTTTGTCAAAGATCAGAGAGCATCCCGATGGCTCAGGCCCCGTTGCTGACAGACTGCCAGTAATTAACAACCAGAAAACGAAGCGAAAACCGCAATCTCTTTGCTCTTGATTATTATTGTTCGACATTCTTATGGAAGAATCATCCGTTACATTTTTTCCCATTCGAAGCCGAACACCCTGTGTATATATATAGAGAGAGAGACAAGTTCGTTACAAGACGGCACAGTATGCGAACGTCGTCCTTAACGTTCGCCTATTTAAAAATGATCAACAATTCTGGGACACGTTTCTGTTCCCAGCGTGCATCGGATCTTATTCCTCTTTGATATTACGTCCCCTCTGTGTTTACTATGCTGTGACAGCCTGCCACGACGCAGCCTCGCTACGCTGTGCCCTGTTGTAAGAAGTTGATTGCTCTTTTCTTGCACAACGGACAAGGAAATTTATGCATATCTGCCCAAGAAATCCGCCGAAAAAACTCTAAGACCGTTGTTATTCGATTTAGCCCTCCGTCACACTATTTACATGCGAGTATTTTACCTGGAAATGGCAATAAAATATACAAGGTGTTTCGAAAACATTCGTACAATCTGCGCAGGCTCGTTCCTGAACAAACAAAAAAAGAAATAGAGTTTCGTCTCTCGAGGAATTAATCGTTCTTTGTTACTTTTCTTTTTTTAACACGTTCCGTGCCACGTGTACCATCGATGGTACACGCTTGCATGTTTACTTAGTGAACAGAACAAATTGTTTACAAGAAATTTAGAACCGAAGAATCAATTTCCACCGCAAGAATGGGCGTTGATAAGTTTTTGTTACGTTGTTATGTGTACGAGAATTAATAATTGCACGTAATACATCAAGTTTTAGTCAAATATCAAAGTGTGAAGATTCGAGTAAAAAAAGCTCGGCACGGAACGTGTTAAACGATTCGGTATCTTCGCGAGAAAAGTCCGGACAAACGCGCGAACATTTCGCTCTATTTTTCTCGTAGTGTTTGAAAAATCAAGATATAAATATTACGACGTACTCGTCGAGACAAAATTTAACTTTTACCGTCGGGACACATTCACGGTTACGATCGCGAGCGTTCCCTCCAAACAGTTTCTTCAGCTTGTGCAGTTTGTACTTGTGCCCTTGAAACGACTCGTACAGGACGTATCGGTATTAGCGGTGCAGGATCGACAAGCAGTCGATGCTTCGAGGAAAGACGACAGCGAAATTTAGGATTAAATGTTTCTTTTTTCGCGCGCGCGCGCCTTTCGGAATGATCGTCGTTTCCGGGCGATTAACGAACAAACTCATGTGTCCAACTCTGTTCAACGTCACGCGAATCCAACAACATACGAAAGCGGCTTGCTGAAACTTTATCTCACACTTTTTCTGTCGTTTTTTCTCCCCCGAAAAATCAACTCCCCGTAGATTATCCGTTACGCCGTTAATAGCCAGACTATGCCTTTACTACCGGATCAATCGTGGGAGTATTACTTAAATACTGTAAATCAGAAAGCCAAACGGAATCGAGAATGCTTGTAATAGTGATGCGTTCGGATATGAAATGAATTGTATACAGTTAGGTGAAGTTTATGCTCCTGTGAATGAGTATGATAGTCGTTATAGCTAGATGAATTCTTCTTAGAAACATTTACCATTGTCATCGTTCTGTTCTTATAGCGTGATATATGTACTCCTTATTCTATATGTTAGATGTACATACGATAATAAGATAGTTGCGTAAAATGATACGTTACAGGAAGTTCGTTCTGACGGAAAGCGAAGTTACCGGCGTAGCGAATGTGAACTGAACAGGGGATTTTGTCGGTTCTCTTCATCGAGAGTATTATTCGCCATCGTTCATTGTCAACGTCCCTTACACTTCGATGACACGCAGAGACATTCGCAAAATAATCGTTTCTATAAACATACGCGTATGGTGTATACAAAGTGTCCCAATATTATGGTACCTCCGGGAAATTAGAGATTCCTGAGGTCATTCGAAGCAACTTTTTGCTTTACACAAATTTTCCCCGAGGCATCGTTAACGAGTTATTAGCAAAAACACACTGACCAATGAGAGGCGAGCTTGGATGACGCGAGACGGTCGAGTCAACGAGCGGACGAAGTCCAGTTCCGCTGATTGGCTCCGCCGTCTAGCGCCAGCCGAGTGCTCGCTCTTCATTAGCCATTGTTTTTCGTTAATAACTCGTAAACAAAGCCGCGGATTGCATTTGCGCCAAGGAAAAAGTTACTTCAAATAACCTCAGGGACCGCTCATTTCCCGGAAGTACGATAATTTTGGGACACCCTGTATATGTACGTACACGTATGTAAACATATGCATACAGGATACGTGAACATGCGTATACGTGCGTATGCCGTATATAATGTACGTATATAAATATTTCGTTAACGAGATTTACCGCTCTCTTCGATTAGTCGTTCTCATTAAAATTATATCTCTCTCTTCGTTAATCAATATAGCAGAGTTTCTTAACATCGGTTTTATTAACATAAGGTCTACAAAAATTATTGCGTGTTACATTTTGTTACACCGTTAGCACGTTGGATCGTTTCCTTCCCTTTTATGTACTTTGCTTTCCCTTCGTTACAATTTACACGCATCGATCAGTTTACGGCATTAAGTAGGATAGCTTTTTTAAATAATGCATATAACATTCGCCATATTCTATGCAGGACGGCCAAGTTGAAAAACGTTTTTATACAATCTCCATTATCGAGGGGTCAAAAGACGGTTGTATTTAACTCGAAACCGGGGGAGTAAGTATACGCGATTCCTCTCAAAGTTTTACGCAATCCGCGAACAGAATCCGTTGGGAACGAAAAGGAAACAACTTTGTTCTGGTCGAACAGAACCGCGTGAATTTACGTTCGTCCATTGAAATGCATCTCGTCGATCTTGTCTCGCCTGCACGCGGGAGCAAGCACTTATCACGGCTTTCGCTGGGTGATTTCTGTCCGTAATTCGTGATCGGTGAAGAATTACCTACGCTTTCGGATTTCATTCCAAAGCAGCGTGTTTTTCTTGTCGCGCTGTCCCTCGACGCTTTCAATTTGTGCACGACGAAATTTGTGTTCGTTGCGTTCAACCGGAAGTCGTCGGTAGATTTTGAAAAATTTCGAAGCAGTGGAGGCTATTGGTGCGCGTTTGCATCAATTATCGGTATGCTGCGGATTTTTATACAAAATAAAAATCGTCCGCGTCGATTGCACGAAATTGAAGCTAGATGGAAAGTTCTTTCTTTCTTTAATAATGTTTATAGCCGACAAAAGATACATTGACATTTTTATATGTTTTGAAGCCATCTACTGTATTAGAACGCGATTACTCGATTTTCTTATAAATACATAAAATCCGTAGAGTTTAGTTATCATACCGTTTCCTGAACAATAACAAATCCGTGATATGTTATTTAAATGTCGTTCCATCGGAACTCTATGAACTGCATGAACTTGTCGGGAGACAAGTTTGTTTCGCATAATCGCTAGCTACGATTTTTTGATCATTCGATAGAGTTCACGTTCGTATAAAAGAACTTAACTCAGGAGAGAATTCCGTTCAGCGGGCACTGCTAAAATTTCGTTCACTTAACATTAGATTTACGGAACACGTCAAAATGACGGGCCGCTAATTTTGTAATTTACGATTACTCATATCGCAAAAACACATTTATAAGTTATTTATTCAATTTATATTACTTTACTTTTAAGTTACGTTACTTTTAAGTAACTGCCGTTAATTATGGCAAATGTTACAATAAGGCTTGTTAAAAATCAGAACGAATGTCTTATTGTTACCTTTACGAACTAATATAAAACAGCTGTTCTTTTGTGCTCCGTAAATCCAGTGTTAAATCAGGGGTGACCAAAGCGTCGACCGCGTAACTATTCTGTCACCCGCCTGTCCGATATTATCTGTGTTCATTTTAAATTTCAACTTATTTTTGGCTTTAAATGACTACTTTCCTTATGATCGATTAACAAATACGACGTTGATATACCGCCGCCTATAATTTAAAAAATCAGATCGCCCCTAGTGATCGAAAGTTTGACCATCCCTGACTTAAACGGAGTTCGTGCGAACGAAGTTGTACTCGTCGAACGGATTACGAGTAACGGTGCCGAGGTTCGATAATGAATGTAGACGCACCTTTACAAGATGTCAAATGGATCCGACGTGTCTAAAAGTATTATAAGATTTCAAGGACATGAAAGTGTCTGAATAATACCGGAGGATTCGAATGATATATTTGAAAGTTTCAAAGGACTTCGCGAGCTCCGAGAAGAAACGAGGTGTCAAGAATCATAAATGTTTGAAATTATCGGGGTTACTGAATAATACAAATTGTCCTTCTGCTCTCCCCCAGCTGCACCGCGGCTCATCGGGCCACCGGTATCTTCTTTCTCCTCGTTTACATGTCACGATCGGTACCACAAACTTCTGGATTTTCCAAAATCTTTGAAACTCTCCGATTGCAGTTTTCACATTCCTCGAAGCCTGATATTTTCGAATCTGCTTATGAAACGGTGAATTGTGGGAAATCGTAGTTTCCGAGTTGATCGAATTTTCTCTCAGTATCTACGGTTTAACGTTAGATTTACGGAACCCGTCAAAATGGCGGGTCACTAATTTTTTAATTTGCGATTATTCATATCGTAAAGACACGTTTTTTACGAGTTATTTGTTCAATTTATATGTTACTTACGGCAAACGTTAAAATAACGCTTGTTAAAAATCAGGATAAATGTCTTATTGTTACCTTTATAAGCTAATATAAATCAGCTGTTTTTTGTGCTCCGTAAATCTAGCGTTAACGTCGAGCGAGCGGCAGCGTCGTCTCGTAGATAATTCGACGACCCCGAAGTGCACCGTAGCCGGCGATCAATGATCTTTGTAAATCTTCACCGACACATTTACGCAGGATCGACCGCGTCAGCCGTGACAAATGTCCGCTGGCTCCTACGCGCGAGTCGCATTTAATACGGACTGCTCGCTGTCTGGAAAAAGGTACAGTCGTCGAACCAGTTGCGAACGTAAAACAACGAAAGACACGCGAGAAAGATCATTATAGTCGCTCGAAGACAGCAGATAGGCGAGCAGAATTTTATACAACAACGCTGTTTGATTTTAGGTAGTACGCGTCAAGTTCCACACGTTCCGCGGATTTTCAGTAAATTATACATTTCCCGATTTCCGTATAAAATTATAGTTCGCTTTGTACACTTTCTTCACCTTTTCTTTTTCTTTTCTTTTTTTTTTTTATTCATTTTCTTCACTTTCGCTTCGAAATCGTGAATCTCGACGTTCGATAAAGACCGCGCACTTGGACGCTCCTGACACACCATTTACGGTTTGAATTTTCGTCATTCCTCTGGTTTTTTTGTTTTTTTTTTTCTCTTTTTATTCGAGTGCCACAGCACCGATATTACAACACACCGTTACACGTTCTACGATCGCGGTTTAATTTTAACACAAACCTCTGCGCTATTTCTATGCGATTCCTTAACACGCCGACTAATCACGAAGGCCCACCGAATGACACGAAATCAAGCAGAAAACAACATTCAATTCCTTAGGGTGTCACACAACGGATTGCTAGTTATTTTCTGTCCTATAATCTGTTCTTTTTTTACGCATCACCGGTAGCAAGCGACGATTAAAGGATTTTCTTTTTTCGGTGGAAAAACATCGATTCTTGTTGCTTATCCAGTCAGCTGTTGCAATCTCTTTGAAACTTATAACGTAGAATTATATTGCAATATATCTGCTTTTTCTTCTCTCATTTTATATTACCAACATTTATATATTTACAGTGATGTCTCCCCAATTGACGCTCAGATTGTGCAGAAAAATGGACAATTTGGGAAGAGGAGATACGATTATTCGAGCCTTGCAGCTCGTTTTTATAGTTGTTGACAATCGATAACCATAAAAAACGAGCCTCATCTTCCAAAATTGTCCATTTTTGTGTACAATCTGGGCGTCAATTAGGGAGACATTATTGTACTTAACTTAACCAGTTAGCCGTTTTCGACGAGTATACCCGTCACAGCACAAAATGCTGCCATCTCTTCGCGACGAGCATACTCGTCGGAAACAGCCGGTTCCACGGAAATGTCTTTGTAAAATTTCAGAGTGGAATTCGTAATAACTTTGGAGCGGATCTTTATGCAAAATAAAAATCGTCTGCATCGTTCGCAAGAAGCAGATAGCAGTGTACTTCTTCTTTTGATGATTTAAACAATTTGAAAACAACGTAACATCCCTCGATCTTTCCGATGTCTTCGCTCCTGTGCATTTCACTCACCCATTTCTTTCCCCCATAAATGCATAAAATGCACGATCTGCTGATTACTCGGTTGAAACCGCGAACGTTGAAGGGAAACAATGTTCTCGCAGCCGGTTAACACGATTGAAATGATCGACTTGAAGTTTTAACAGCATCTTGGTTATTTTATTAAAATTACCAATTACTAATTACCTATTAAATAAACGTCTTCCACGTTTTATTAACACTAGATTCACGGAACCCGTCAAAATGGCGGGTCGCTGATTTTTTAATTTGAGATTATTCATATCGTAAAGACACATTTATGAGTCATTTGTTAAATTTATATGTCACTTACGGCAAATGTTGCAACAACAGTGGCTAAAAATCAGACTGAATGTCTTGCTGTTATTTTTATAAACTGATATGAAACAGCTGTATTTTGTGCTCCGTAAATCTAGCGTTAAAGTCGAAATCAAAGTCCATGAACATTCGGATTCGACCGGTCATCGTTCGTCACAAAAAGTAAGTTGCCTAATCGTCGAAAGATCGATATTTCCCACCGAAAATAAATCTTCCCCTCGAAATCTGGTCAACTTGCGCGCGTGTCCTTTCGAATGCGTAACGTTCCCCGGGGCGTTTTTAACGAGGAAATTTGTGATCCCGTAAAACATAGTCGATTGCAGAACGACGTTAAAACGATTCTAAAATACGTTATTATTTTCAATGGTGCGAACTTGAAACGAATAGAAAATCACGGCGGCCAACGCGTTGAAGCAACTCTCGCGGCTAATTGAAAAAGGAAAGGGGGGCGGGTGATCCGTATCAGTCGTGTGGAATGTGTTCGAGAGCGATGTGTTAGCCGTTAGTTAAATCGTAGCAATTTCTTACCAGGTATTAGGAATTCATTATCGTCGGTAATCCTGATGCGAACGATCGTCTGTTACATTTTGATTCGTATATCTATTTGATGTATCTGCGGACGACTTGTCTCATCTATTAGCAGCGCGGCGATTATCGTCTTCCCTTAATGATCCGAGACGCGTAACAGAGGATCGATCTTTTTCTTTCGTTCGTTGATCCGCTAATACGATGATCGATGGATGATATTTGCTATTTGAACGCGAACGGTCGACGATCAAGATGTCCAGAATGACGAATACGGTTGGCAGAGTTGGGCAGACGCATGATCTAATCAGAAACCTCGTGTTAAGAACAATAACGTTTCACGGGTGACTCGCGGATGCGAATGGCTCCGGTTATTCGGATTAATTAACGCGATCGCGGCTAATAGGTAAACAGGGCCGCGATCGAGACATCGGTAATTCTTGACTCGATTAGGGGAAATTAATTACCACCCAACTCTGATCGGTGGATGAAATCGCCGAACACGATCGATCGGCTCCGCGAACGAATTGAATCGATTTCTGGATCGATGTCCGAGTCGCAAAAAACAAGAGAACTTCAGGCGGGAGGACTGTTTATTTCTCGTCCACGACGGGACCATTCGTCTCGTTTGTTTTTTTTTCTCTCCAGAACAGAAAAATATTATGCTCTATGTATATTAGTTGAACACAAAGAACATCTCTCCCTTTTCATTTTCGTGTACGCGCGCGTGTTTCTCACCGTGTGTCTCTGTGTGTAATTGTGTGTGATATTGTTATCTTCGTACGAGTCACAAACGAACTTACTATTCTCGCACGACGGACGAGCGCGCGCGCGCGTCGAGGATTTCGATCCGCATCCCTTGCACGCAATAAAATATCCAGTTGATCGGCTCGTTTCGCGTTAAAACGTTCATTATGATATACGGCTGGATCTGCGGATCTTTTATTATACGATTGCAACGCGTCGACGAGAAACGAAAAGAAAATCGGTCTCCGGTCTTCATTTTGTACGTTCGCGCGCGCGTAACACGTTCCACGAGACGCGCGGCGTACAAACGAACCCTTTCTATGAACTCGATTCTTACCCACTAGATTTTGATATGATGTAAATGTGAGTATAATTCCTTGTAAGACTGTGTGTGTGCGTGTGTGTGTGTATGTGTGTTTTGTTCTCGCTTGATTTTTGTTTAATTCTGCTCTGCGTTTAAGAATACCATTTATAGAGTTCTTTCTTTTTTTTTCGTTTTATTCAACAGCAGCTTTTCCTCTTTTCCCCGATGCTTCGCACACATCTTTCGCCGCTTTTTTTTTTCTCCTCGTCGTTATATCGTTCACTCGTTTAAACAGCAAAGAGAGTCAAGAGGCGAATAATTCTTATTCATTTTTGTTTGTTTGTTTGTTTGTTTTTTTGTCTCGTATAATACACTATGTAACGTTACAAATTAATTTCCTTTCGCTTCACGATCTCCCGGAAGTGTTCCATGCCGCCGTGCTTTCGTCCCCGCAACAGGCTTGCGCGTACGCGACAGGTTCCGTTCACATGGGTTGGGTCGCGTGAGATCGTACTCGTTAGAAAATATGATGAAACGAACAAAGAATAACGGGCGTGCTCGACCACAGACACAGAGAAAGAGAAAGAACGGAGGGGCGACGCGCGAAATCTTATTTTCTCGTTGAACAAAAATTTTACGTCGAACGCGCTCTCGACGCGATACGATTTCTCCTCTTCTTTCCGTTCCGTGTTTCTCTTTCTTTGCCTCTCATTCTCTCGCTTTCTTTCTCTCTTCTTCTCTTACGCTCTCTCTCTCTCTCTCTCTCTCACTCTTTCTCTCTCTCTCTCTCTCTCTCTTGCTTTTATACAAAGTATAGCATCGCTTTTCTCGTTCTATTCTGTTACAACGACGTGAAAAGGGTAAAATTTGAACGATGCTCGCCCGGAACGGAGGGAAACGCGTCGTCGCGCGGTGGGTTTCCGGCGACGCGATCTCCTTTTCCCTTCCGATTCTGTCTTCTTTTTCTACTGTACCGTTGTTTTCCAAGATTTTAAAGTAATATTGCAACGTCAAAGGAACTGTACAACAAGCTTATTACAGAGCGGCTCTCTTTATCTCTCTCTCTCTTTCTCACTCTCTCTCTCTCTCTTTCTCTCTCCCTTTCGCTTTTCCTCCTCGAGACGTTCCTCTTCTCACCTTCCCCTTCTCCTTTTCCTTCATCGATCGCGATCAAGTACGACAAACGGAAATCTTCGACACTTGCCCAGACAACTCGGCGAACGATCGAAACCATGATCGATCGATCGATCGATCGCCGTCCGAACCTGGCGGCAGCGGCGCACCGCGTCCAGCGAGACACACGCTGTGGCCTGGCCTTCCTCCTCCTCCGACAGTCCATGTAACATTATTTCGTGTGATGTGTTCCTTTTTTTTTGTTTCCGCAACTTTGTTAAAACTTACTGGCTAAACAATTTGTTACTTTTATAAACAGCGTTTCCAGAGATAATCTACGGACTTAACGTTACTCCATTGGAAAGAAACGAAGAGAAGAGGGGGGGGGGCTGGGGGCTGGGGGCTGGGGGAGTCGAGCTGAACGAAGTGGGAATAGAAAAAACGAGACACGTATGAACAAACGGAGGTGGTACTTGTGAAACCTCGATTAATCACCGATCGCAACTCGGTCGAAGGTATAATAAAATGCTAAGTCGTTGGCGTTCGCTAGTCCCATAAACCCGTGCCCGGGGGCGTTCGTCGTATCGAATCGTCGAGTAAAACAATGCACCTGTTGTGTTTTTGTACACCTAATCACTTGCTGGCATTTTATTCTGCGTCCGCCGCCACTCGGATACGGTTACAAGAAGATAATTACAAAGATTGTTGATACACTTTTAAGCATCCTATGTACATCTCTTACATAAATAATAATAAATCTTTCCATGGTTTATACGCACGGTGTACTCCGATCGTAGGAAATCATCGGATCGCAAATTCGACGACGCGTTTCGTTCGGGCGAGTGCTGTACAACAAATAAAACGAGGAACCCAAGGGAATTGAAATCTGCCTTCCTATACGAGCTAGTTTATAAAAATATGATTTCTGAACGGTTCGATCGATAATGTAGAATAAAATCGTGGTTCGGCGTGGCCGGCATTTTCGATTGCGCGCGACCGCAGAAATCAAGATTTACAATCGGAATATTTTCGCCTTCCACTTTTTTCTTTTCTTTTAACACACGCCGCAAAAAGGTTCTGAACTCGGACGAACGAACGTCCGGGATCTCGTTTAATTTCGCGTATGACGACGATCATGCGTAGGACGATCGTTGCCATAATTCGGCGCATCGTGGCGTTGCCGTTCGCGAGCGAGAGCTTTCTTCGAATGACGAACGTCGACCGGGAAGCTTTTCACGGCTGTTGCAATAAATTTCACGGGGCGTGACTGTACAGGAATTTTATTTCACGGTTTTGTTTCCTCTTCGCGTCGCAGGAAATAACGGCGGATTGGTAGACGCTGGTTGGATGGTTCGACGGCGGGGTGCCGCGCGGACAATTCGCCGCCCTGGCACGGGTTCATGGAGTCGAGCGAATACCGAAATGGTAGAGACCTCGAACGCGCGAAACGATGTGAGGTTTGTCACGGAATAAATTAAATATAACACGATTCCACTGTTTCATTCCGATGAGTTTTCCACTACGTAAGAACATTATATATATATACACGTGTTATGCATCGGTAAGAGTCATAGTTACATTACAGTAGTAGTATAGATCGAGTATAGAATAGGCTACCAACTTATCATAAACGGTTTGGTTGTACCTAACTATATAATAATCAATACTTCTGTATAGGGTACGAGTCGCCTATAACGTTCAATTGATCGTTGGCTCTGACGAATCACGTTCTAGGCCCGATCGATTAAAAATTGGACGGGTGGAAACAGAATAAAGAAAGGGAAAACGGCGGGGGGGGGCAGTGCGGATGGGACAGGATAGGGGAGGATAAGGGACGGGATGGGATGTTCGAGAATTCTTAAGATGTACACGGAATTAGGTTGAAACGAGACGACAGATTGAATCGAGGGTGCGGAGGAGAAAAATTGGGAGCGGGATGGGCCTGGGGAGGGGTGGAAGGGGGGGGGGGGTATGAAGGATCTAACAGGAAATATATTTGAGTTTTTATTTAATCATAACTACCATTAGAGATCCAATGTTCATCGTTACTTCTTTTTTTTTTTGTTTGTTTCCTCTGTAATCTTATCCAGAATACTAAACTCTCAAAGTGGCGTCATAATATTACTTTAAATTCATGATAATAAAGTCTATCGTGTATGAGAGTTTAACTGTGTGTCAACATGTCTCATACCATTATATATTTATATATATATATATATTGGTATATATAATATATATAAATATATTTATGTATATATATTTATATATATATATAAATATAATTTTAATAATAGTATGTATATATATAATATATTCACTACCTGCATATCACAACATAAATTTACTCTCTCCTCGACCGTTCAAACGCGGGCACGCACGCTCTCTCATACACACGCAACATACACACACGATCCCGTTCTACGTAAATTACTATATAACGCTGCGGTAGTCGGATAGTGGTTGAGTTTCTAAGCATTGTAGCGCCTTAACCACGGCGAGCGTATTCTCCTCCGTGTTTCCCGATTTGCCACACAACCTTCGATCACTTCCCGAAAATTCTTTCGCCGGATTCCCCCGCATCGCTCTGCCCTCGCGCGACGATGACACAATGATGCACGGGGGGCGGGGGGGAAGGAAGCGCGCGCGAAAATCCTTCTCGCAACGCTCTTGCGACGCTCTTCCCGAATTACAGGAGACGCGATCGACGTCGCGCGTCCCGGCGCCGTTTCATAATCCAGCGATCGTCAACAGATCGGTGCACGCCTGATATAGATCCTGCCGCGAGTGTGTACACATCTCTCACCAACGAACCTAACCGACAGACGTGTGGCTGTTGTATACGTAGCTGTGTGTTTGTGTGTGTACGTGTGCGTGTGCGTGGACGCGTGTCGTGTGTGTCCGATGCATCATCTGCGATTTGGCTCCGGCGCGCCGATCTTCCTCGGGGGATCGAATCGACGCGCTCAACGATCAAGATCCTCCATACGGAAATTTCGTCTAAAAACGTAACACGGACGACGATCGAGTCGTTTGCCTGGGACGGCGGTGCGCGATCGTCGTCTTCTTCTTTTACCACGGCTTCCGGCGGCTTGCGGTCCTCGGCCGCGCGCCGCGACCGAACGAACCGCGACGCACCGGCGGCGCGACGAGCCCGTTTCGCGCGATCGGCGACAAACGGTGCGATCTCGTTCTCCTCTCTCTCTTTCTCTCTCTCTCTCTCTCTCTCTCTTCCGTTTTCTCCCTCGCGCTTTCCTTGATCCGCTACACTGCTCACGAGCTCAGCCACTAACAATTATACATCAGCATAAAACCTTAGAAACCATTGGCTCAGCCTGAACGCGTGGCGCTGGTTCGCGCTGTACCACCTCACGGGATCCAGGGCAGCCGGCGAGTTTTTAAAGTATGCGACAGGAAGCTGAGCAGCAACTACTCCCGCCGCCTTTACTTTTTTGCCTCTGATCTGTAAACAAAAAGAGGATGTCGTTAATGACGGCGCTCGGGCACTTTCGATTGGTTCGGACGTATTATCGCGTTTCGTTTCGTTATGTTGGTCGAAGCTTGATTAGCTGTTCGATAAATTATCGTTGAAATGCAAGTGTTTTGTCTAGTTAATTGCAGGTTAATCATTTCGTAGAACGTACGCATCATGCGCGCACTCCGAATTAATCCTCTCGGGGATCGACAGTGAAATTTACTTGTTTGTTTGATTATCTCTATTTTAAAAGAAATTGCTTATTTTACTTTATCTCCTTTTATTTGTCTTATTTCCAAAGAAACTTCTAATGAAATTTGGATTCACTTGTAAATACGTATATGTATGTGTATATACAGGGTGTCCCAAAAATGTCTCGCAATCCGAAAGTGGCGGGTTCCTCAAGTCATTCGAAGCAACTTTTTCTTTTACGAGTTATTAACGAAAAACAGCGACCAATAAGAATCGAGTACGGCTGACGCGAGGCGGCCCAGCCAATCAGCGCGCGAAGCCCAGTTCCGCTCATTGGCTCGGTCGCCTCGCGCCAGCTGAGCTCGCTTCTCATTGGTCACTGTTTTTCGTTAATAACTCGTAAAAGAAAAAGTTGCTTCGAATGACTTGAGGAACCCGCCACTTTCGGATTGCGAGACATTTTTGGGACACCCTGTATATATTCATATTGAATTTAAAAAAGGGGTGAAATACGGTCAATTTTGATCGAGCTAGTCAAAAGTGAATTTCATTCGCGAAACGGTGAATTTCATTTCCAAACGGATGAGTAAAACCTGCAAGAGAGTTAATTTTATTTACAAAATGTACGAAATGTTATATGTACTATTTGCGAATAAAATTAATCCTCTTACATTTTTTATTCATCTCCGTTTGAAATTGAAATTCACTTTTTCGCAAATGAAATTAACTCATTCATTGATCAAAATTGACTGTTTTTTATTCAATTTTAAATATACATGTTAATTAAATATATTAATTGATATATAATTAATTAATTAATATATACATAAATTAATGTTAATTAATTATTATTAATTTATTAATTAATATAGTATAATATACTAGTAGTACATTACTACTAGTAGTGATATAATACTACTATAGTATAATATACTAGTAGTACATTACTACTAGTAGTGATATAATACTACTATAGTATAATATACTAGTAGTACATTACTACTAGTAGTGATATAATACTACTATAGTATAATATACTAGTAGTACATTACTACTAGTAGTGATATAATACTACTATAGTATAATATACTAATTTACAAATTAATACAAACTTTACAAATTTCTTTTTAATACGAATTTTGTAACAGATAATTAAAAAAAGTGAATTCCATTTGCAAAAGGATTAATTTAGAGTGAAAAAAAATGAATATGATTTAAAATCTGTAACGTAAAGGATCATTCAAAGAATGTGCTTGTATGATGCTTTTTTCTTAAACATCAAACCTAACTGAGTCATTCTACGTGACTGTATCGTCTAGCGTAGAGTTCAGCCAGAGACTTGCGTTCATCTGCCGCATATATGTTTTATTTACATCATTTTTACTACACGTAAAGATATCATATTGTAGGTCATTGTATTCGCCTCAACAAACGCTGTTATATTATGGATAAAAAAATACGGGATCACGTTTAAAAATATTAATTTGACTTCAATATCTTCCCCACCACTACACCTGTAGGAATATTGTTTATATCACCTAACATCCTCTAACATCCTAACACCCTCCACATAACTCTATATCGAACAACTTTTGTAGTAACATATTGTGGACAACTTTAATCCCTCGCGAAATATTCCATCGAGTCCACTTAAATATTTGTTTCGATTGTAATGAACAGAGCAGTGGACACCCAGAGTAAACGAGCACGTTTTTTAAACAAATAAAACAGATATATTGCATACGATTAGCTTTGCACGACAGGCGTTTTTAAATTAAATGTCTATACATCTCGACGTTAATTTTCGAGATTTTGATATTTCATTGTTTCAATAAGAAGTATCTAAACGTTTTACATTATAATACTATATAAAATGAATATACTTCAAACAGATAAATAATACAGATAAATAAATTACTCTTCCTCGAGTTGACCTTTAACTTTCCAAAACACCCTAAGCGTTCTAGGATTAATAAATCTCCTACGAGATTTCGATATCAGAAAAAAAGGAAAAGAAACAGCCGGCTGCGCAGATGAATTTCGATTCGAAATGGCCCGTTGATAGAATTGCTTTATTTACATAAAATATTTTTATATTATTTACTATTATTATTTATTATATTATTATTTATTTTATTTAAATAAACTAATATTCTCTAAATGCACGAGTGTCCGTGTTTTAAAAGCTCCGCAGATCGCACCCTGGGTGTTCCAATACGCGAAGAATAGACGCTAATTTTCCACGTTTGAAAGCGAACGGGAACGACATACACAAATGGTTTCCACCGCGGCCAAAAGTTGTTCGAAGACTGGCGCCTCCGTAAAAAGGGAAAAATAAACTTCGAGGGAGACACAGGAGAACGAGAACCGAGTGCAGCATGCACGCATGCATTCCCCGGGACCGTGCGTGCCGTGGTGCAACGCGCACGTTTATCATTTCAGGTAAACGCAGCGTTTCCGCCGCGGCAAGTCGCTATTCTTCTCCGCGGGGTGAAGGGCAGTTGTCCACGGTTTCCGCAAGCGGACCGTAAACCGGGGTAATATTGGGTTGGCAACTAAGTAATTGCCGATTTGTTCAATGAAATAAAAAATTTTTTTTACGTGGAATGAAGTTTAATCTGTGTAATGTATTTTCCATTTTGTTCGATGACCTTTTGCCATCTCTCCGACAACTTGAAAATTCCACGCTCGTAGAAAGTCTGATCCTTTTCGGCCAAAAACTGAGTTAAGTGAGATTTTACAGCGTCATCATCGTTAAAAGTTTTATCACGAAGGGAGTTGTCCAGGGATCGAAATAAGTGGTAATCCGATGGCGCGAGATCAGGACTATACGGTGGGTGTAACATCAATTCCCAACCAATATCCATCAATTTTTGCCGAGTGGACAAAGACGTGAGCGGCCTAGCATTGTCGTGGTGGAAAATGACACCTTTACGATTGACCA